CATGGTTTCCACAAAAATATTAAGCAGCAAAACTTTTTTTAACATTGATAATAAGAATAACAGTTTCTTGAGCAGCAAATCAGGATCATGTGATAGTGAAGCCTGGAGTAATGATGCTGAAAATTCAGTTTTGCCATCACATTTTAAAATATTTTCAAATAGAAAATGTATTTTTGATCAAATAAATGCAGCCTTGGTGAGCATAAGAGACTTCTTTCAAAAATATTTAAAAATCTTAAAGACCCCAAATTTTGAAAGGTACAGTTTTAAAAATAAATGTGCTTTATTGCCATCTATAGATCCTTGAAGAGCCTTTATCATCTATGGAATCTTTCCATTCCAAAAAAACAAAACAAAAAAACAGTCTTTATAATGGAAAATAGTTCTTTAGATTTTTAAAATGTTCTTCACACAAATTTAAAAATGGTTATTTTAAGAACTGTTCCCTGAAAGGTTCTTTTGGGAACCAAAAATGGTGGTTCTATGGCATCACCTTTATTTTTAAGGGTGCGTTCACACTTGTAGTTCGGTTCTCTTGGTTCGTTTGGTCCGGACCAAAAAGGAAAACGATACATTTGGTCCTGGTCCGGTTCATTTGGTCCGGACCAAAAAGGAAAATGATACATTTGGTCCTGGTCCGCTTAGCGTTCACACTGGCATTTTTGACAGCGAACCTAATGATACGTTCACAACCTGATTGGTCGGGTTGAATGACGTATATTTCGCGACAGAACTCACCGAACACCCCAAACAAAAGCTGTGTTCGCCGCGCAGACCATGTGGTGTATGACCTCAAAGTACCCATTCACCGATCGGTCTGCTCAGCGCCGCTTTAAGTCGAACACACCTAATGCCGTCTGCGCGCTCATTGCTGCATGTACTTATGATTTTATTTTCACCACCTGCGAACTCACAAAGAGCTCATAAAAGGCACTTTACCTCCTCGTTGCTACATGTTTGCCCTCTGCTCTGATTTTGTTTTGAATTCACCGCTCGTTCCGCGTCATCAAATAATGTCGCATAGCGTCGCATCTTGCCATTACTTCCTGTTTTTGGTTCGTTTAGAAGTATTTGGTCCGTGTTGCATTCATATTTCATTCGAACTCGAATATTTCAGTTCGTTTGGAAGCGGACCGCGACCCATCTTTTTAGCGTCTCGGTCCGCTTGTTTGGTGCGCACCAGAGTTCAAATGGCAGCGTTCACACTAAACGAACCGCACTAACAGAGAAATTGCACCAGGGTTCGTTTTAATCGAACCAAACATGACAAGTGTGAACACACCCTACGAGTGTAGCATAGGTGTCCAAATACTTTTTGGATCCAACACAGACCTGCGTAAGACAGGATTCTCCTGAGGCTCACGGTGTGTTTCAGTTCCTTTAGTTCTCGTCGCAATCGGACGCATTCTTGTTCTCGAACCGCCACCTGCTCTGTTAGATCCTTCATAAACACATGAAGAAGCAAAAAATGACCAATTAAAGTACAAAGAACGATAAATGGTAAGTTCAGATGGAACAGGTACATTTATCTCAGGATCTCCAGGTGTATCTCTGTCTTGAGCCAGCTGGAGGTTCATCTTGAGATCTGATTTCTCCTGCTCCCACTGCGCTCTCTGAGACAACAGCTGCCTCTCTAGGAACCTGAAAACGTACAATGTAATGCCTATAATATAAGTCATTGATGACTTCCAGTGTATCGATCTGATGTACGTGAAGTGAGCAGAAGGAAACTGACTTGTTGGCCACCCGTACAGCATCATAGGCGTATCTGAGATCCTCCCCCTTCATACTTTCAGCAGTGTCTTTCGCAATGCTCATATCCTCCATTAGAACGTTCTGCAGGTAACAGCATTCCTGTTTTTGTCATGACAATTTTTATTTTATTTATAAAGTGAGAGTTTTTGGTTTCGATTGAATCACTAACCAGAGGTTGCTCATCTCTCCAGGGTCTCCTGTCGGTGGGCGACGTCACGCTGATCCTCCTGACCTCCTCGGGTGAAGGGAAGACGGGCGAGCTGGAGAACGGTGTGGTGACGGGTGAAGGAGGCTCCAAAGACACAGCTGAGTCTGTTCGTCTGTGTCCACGTGAACGCTGCGAAGGAACACACACATATACTATATTCTTGCATTCAATCAGGATTAAATATAATTTTAACACTTAATAAAAGCGGTAAACAAATATAACATCATATAATGCATAACAGATCATTAGCTACTACATTCAAATGTGTTTTTTTAATTATTATACAATGTCATATTTTCAGATTTGTACATGTACAGGCAGTTATTTTAGTATCACTGAGATACTATTACAGTTTTTATTAAATTAGTGTTTATTTTTTTATTTTCTGTTTTCATTTTAATTTGAGTTAACATTTTAGTAATTTTGTTGTGTGTTTTTGTAATTTTTTTTACTTTTTTTACATATATGTATATAGTTTTTATTATTATTATTATTGTTTGTTTGTCTTATTTCAGTTGTAGTTTAAGTCATTTGAGTGCATTCAGTTAAACTAAATAAAAAATGAGAAATGTTGCAACTGGCACCTGGCTGAAATAAAATAAATTTGGGGTTTTATATTTAATTTAATTTATTTTATTAGTTTTTTTATTATTATTATTTATTTATGTTCATATATTTTTTCTGGTTTTAGTTTTAGTTTACTATAATAATTCTGGTACAGGGCACTGTGTACCTATTTTCTATTTTTTATTTATTTTATTACAATACACACACACACACACACCATATATATATATATATATATATATATATATATACTGTATATATATATATGTGTGTTTATTTATATATATAACATACACATTTAATATATCACATATAAAATATGTCATTTGAGTCATTTTCAAAAAAGATGTACCTCATTGGTGGTAAATAAGCTCATGTCTCTCAGGTTGTCGTATCTTTGCTCTAGTCTCGTGAACTCTCTCAGTAAACTCTGGTATCTCCTCCTCTCCTCTTCCAGCTCTGCTCGCACTGATGCATCTGCCTGATCCACAGTCTGCTGGCAGCTCTCTGAAACATACAGACACACAAACGCTTTCATTAGTGTTTATTCGACTATGTTTATATTATTTTCATATATATTGTGTATATTTCAATCCATTAAAATGAGTCTTAGTCCACCATCTCCTTCATTTATTAAACGATACATGAGTTGAGATGTGGCGGACGCATGATTCACCCTCCTGAGCTTTTTCCTGATCCTGTAAACGAATGGTCAGATCATCCCTCTCTTTCTCCAAAGAATCCCTCTCAGCTTGGAGAGCTTGGATTTCCTAGAGTAAACAGGAAATAAACAAACAAAACTGGTGAATGTCAACAGAACCAGCTGCATACAAGAAAAGAAAGTTGTTAAAAGAAAATAAAGTGGCTGATGTTAACCGTATAATGTGTGACACACGGCTCACCTGTGTAAGCTGGAGAATCTCTTGGGCGGCTTTCTCCTCAGCTCTCCTCCGGTCCTCCTCCTGTTCGTCTGTGAGTGAAGGAGCAGTGTTTGCATTCTCCTGCAGCTGGATCTGGAGTTTGAGAAGGCTGGACCGCAGCTGTTCCAGCTCACAGCTGTGAGCTTCTCGCTCGGCCTGAAGAGTCTCCCTGAGAGACGCACTCTCTCTCGCCTGAGAGAAGAAAATCACACACAATTCACAATATACAACGCTATTTAACAATTTGAAAGTCAGCACAGATACGTCTGCAAGATGTCTGTTAAAGATTACTTCATCTGGAAAGCATCTGCTGTGTACAAACATCTAATAGACGTCGTTAAGATGTCAGTTTTACATACATTCTAAAACACAAACATCTTAAAGACATTTTCTAACCGTCTATTTGACATCTGATAGGAAACGTACTATAGAGGTATTGCAGATGAGCAAACACTCTAAGAAATACGTCTTGCAGACGTCAAATAGACATCTCCGTGATGTACGTGTGCTATCAGGGTTACTTACATTATGTAAAGTAGTTATCAAAGAAAAAAGGTGGCCTTTTTGGATTGATTGTTTGAAAAACGTCATTACGTGATTGTCAACATTCCATCTCCAGACAACTCACTAAACACCGATGCTTTCTTCCACCCTCTCACCTGTTGGTCGGCTCGTAGCTGCAGTTGCATGAGCTTGACTTCCATGCCTTTATTGAGTTCTCTATATTTCTCCACCGATCGAGCCTCAGCACGCAGGTGCAACAGCTCTTTACGCGCCGCTCGCCTGCGCACGCAGCACTGCAGGAGCACCACTGCAGCTCTGATGCGCCTGAAACTGCGCCGGGTCAGCCAGCCTCGCACCCGCGCCTGCAAGAACACCACCGCCCGCTTTGTCAGCATCTAGAAAGAGATTTATCAAACAAATTGCACGGTAAAATAATAATGTTTACATTAGACAACAACATTCATACATATGCACTCTGTACTAATTTACTGAACGTAACATAACATAAAATGTCAAGCTGCCATAACCTAAAACGTCATCGTTATATCAAATACCTGTTTAGATTCAGTGATCTGACGAGGATTTATGAGTATAAAATTGAGTAGAAATTTTAAATAGTTAACTATTACATGCCTCAGCTATTGACAAATGTACATCTTGAAAAGCAAATTCTTGTTATCTTACACTACTGAGTACAACAGATTAACTTTAAAATCCTACACAAAGACCTTAACACTAGACACATGAAACACAACAAGGGTAACAATTAACTAAATGATCATTTAAGTAAAACAACAAACTTATCCTGGCACCACAAAGTTACTGAATGTGACAAAACAACGATGTAAATAAAACTGGGAAATGGTCAATTAATGTAACCATATTAATTATTTGTGCACCGGTGCATGATGGGAAAAAGGAAAATGCAACTGAATAACAAAGCCTTTTTAGCATAGCCTAAAGTAAACCAAAAAAATATATAATCAAATAAATCTTTGGCTATTTTTTCAAGATTTAGGTAAAGGGTCAAACATTCTGGGAAATGAAACTGTAACTTTATTTGTATTTTTGTAACTATACCCAGACACGCATAAAGCACTTTACCTGTCTATAAATCCGACGAGCCTGAGTGCCTCTGATGAAGGCTTGGATTTTGATGGTGGCCTCTCTGATGGTCAAATAAAGCTGTCGCACAGCCAGCATGCGGTATGTTTTCTGGATGATTAAAGCAGCACGTGTATAACGGAGGGTCCATGCCAACCTAATGGTCAGGTAACATTTAAGCACATACTTCAAATTAGTCACAAATATACAAAAACACCTATTAGAAAAAAACTATACAACCAGAATAGGACCTAAAAAGCCCACAGTACATATGGCGCTTTTCTACTGCATGGTACTGCACGGTACGGCACAGCTCGGATTGATTTTGGGGCGTTTTCCACTGTGTACAGTACCTGGTACCTGGTACTTTTTTCAGTACCACCTCAGCTGAGGTTCCAAGTGAGCCGTACCGTTACCCAAATGTGATGCGTAAACCCTGCTGATCACTGATTGGCCAGAGAGAATCGTCACTACCTGCGTCATTGAATTTACGACACGAGACACTAGATCCGCTAGATTAAATCAGCACAGCCAGCGCTGACTTTTTTTGAATGAACGCAACAGATTCGAACAAGCGCATCTTTTTTTAAACAACTAAATTATGGCTGTTTAGTGGTCTGTTGAGGAAGCACAGACGTTCCTCTCGTTGATAGCCCAGGAGTGGATCGTTTACGATGATGTCACGGCAGTAGAGGCAGTGCAACTATAACGACATGTCTATAATCCCGCCCACTCTAAAGCAGTACTAAACTGCAGTGGAAACGCAAACCGAGCCGAGCCGTACCATGCAGTGGAAAAGTGCCAATAGTGTGCTCTTTATGTAACACTCTAACCCACCTTCGGGCCAGTGTTCCTCTGATGTACTGCTGTAGGGTGAAGGTGGCCCACCGGAGTCGCTGATAATGCCTACGCTGCAGCCACCCTCTCACCCAGCTTTGGATCAAAACCCCTGCTGCATGTAACCGATCCCCTCTCAGCTTCTCCAGTACTGCAACCTGTCCGGCCCGGAAGAAGACCTTGGTCTTGCCAAAGCAGTACTGCTCTGGATCAGGGATGAGATCGAGAAGGGCACTCTGGCAGGAATGGTGCACATCATCCAAAGAAACAGAACCACATAGCAGCACCCGATAACGAGTGTAGAATTCCTCGTATGTCCACCTGGAGTACAGATGAAAGAGTCAGGGATGGAAGAGGGAACTGAATTGAGAGACCTATAGAAGAGTACTTGCCTGGAGGGGTAGCCTGCGGCACTGATTCGGATGGTCTCCAAGACTCCACATGCTCGCAATTGCTGCACTGCTCGCTTGGGATCAAAACTGATATGGAGAGACGAGAAAAGGTTACTCAAATTCAAACAGACATGAACACATCGGACATCTTATTTATTCTCTTACAGAAAGGGCTGTTTGAGGTCATTGGACTTTATGCAGCGGACATAATGCGGGGTGGTGCTGTTCAAGGTGTCCATCAAAAGTTGCAGGGATTGACGAAACTAGACACAATGTGTAAGACAGAATGTGTAAGAAAAGGAGAAAATCTAAGACCTTAAGAGTCAGAGAACACATTTAGAGCATGACTATTTTCCTTTAGACAGGAACCAGGAGAAGCAGCTCACCTGAAAGCCCACAGTTAATTTGTGTTCTCTGTGAGCTCTCTTCCCTGAACGTATGCTCCCGTTTGCAAGAGAGGAGTTGGGAAGGGATCCCCCTGCTGACTCCTTCTGAAACAACTCAGCAACTAGTTCTGACTGAGACAGTTGTGAAAAGGCAGAGTGAGTACAAAACTCAATTTTTCAATAGCCAAGAATTGAGCTATTCAAACAATACCTGACTAGCTCTCAGTATATTGATGGGCTCCTCAAATACAGTGTCTCGGTTCTTGTCTAAAAAGCCATCACACTCGTACTGGACCTATTTTAAAAAACCAGCAATAATATCACAAACATTTAACGTTTTGGTGGCATCAGTTGGTGAATTATTCTCAGTAGATGTTTTCTGACCATATCAGCAAAATGCACAACGATGAAGGCAGAGTTGGACATGCGTGGTTTAAGAAAGTGAGGGCTGTGGTTCAGGTGTTGGTCGTAAAGCTTCCGAGCCCAGTTCTCATTCGAGCCTTTAGGCATCTAGAACAGAGCGATATTGGGTTGTACACCTTGATGACATGATAAGAGGGACTACAGCTAGGATTACAATGTGTAGATTCCTCACTCTGCATTCTTCATCCAGAAGATCAAGTAGGCCCAGTTGGCCTTCGATGAGTGCAATGCATGGCTGGTTATCACTGAACTCAATACGGTTCCAGGGAAGTTCCTCTCGCAGGTACTCCTCCTGCTCTAGCTGGAAAACATACTGACGAGGACAAAAAGCATATACCACTTGAAAAACAACTGAATGATCAAAGTTGGGTCAACAAGTCAGCTAATGACAAATCAAGTTCTGAAAAGCTCAATGTAACCAAGAATAGGCACTTGTAGTATGTACACTTGGGTGAAGCAACTCTTCAAGGACTAAGTCACTCTTCACTAGACAGAAGATGTTAGATGCCTATGTACACCAAGTGCCAATATCTGGAAACTTACCCTGTTGAACTGCTGTTGGAGTTTCTCATTTGCGTAGTTAATACAGAATTGTTCAAAACTATTCCTGTCAAAAGTCTCAAACCTATAAATGATCAAAGAAAAGATTGACAAAACAATCCTACATGTACATTTTGTTGCTTTGATTATTACATACAAAGTAACTCTTACCCATAGATATCAAGAACTCCTATAAAAGATTTGGGCTGTTCCCGGTGTGTTCTTAAGGATGAGTTGAGCCTCTGCACCGTCCATGTGAACAGTTGCTCGTACACATGCTTAGCCAGAGCATCCCTTGCTTCATTAGCCTGCTGGCCCGTCATGGGCTTCACAAGCATTTCCCCACCCACTGCTAGTCGCCTGTGGCATAGCCATTGGGCCATCTGAGCACCTTCCACCCCTAAAAGCTTGGCAAAGATGGCCAAGGAACGGTCGTTGGCCTGCCAGTAAGATGAATAAGAAATGATGTCCGTATTAGCACATGCTACTTGTTAACAAAACAAGGACATCACTGCTCCTGTTCTTTATCTATACGGACATCAAATATAACTCAGAAATGTGCACAGTAATAGGAAATGGTGCTTGTACATCAATGTAGCTGCGGTCCCCACCACGACCGCTGGCTTGTATGTTGACATTCCCCAGATGAAGAATAGCTGCCAGTATATGAAATATCTCCATCTGCTGGTCAGGCTGCACTCCTGCAGAGATGAACCACAAGTTTTGTAAAAAGTGCGTTATGTTGTATTGGAGGAATATATGGATGTTTTGTTTTAGCTTACCAAGAATAGTAAAGGCATTTCTTGTCCGCTCTAGCTCAACCACATCATCTGTGCCAAAAATGTGCACATCTTGTCCTTGGTTGGTGTAATGAAAGTTCTCTGCAGAATCTAGTGAGATGCAGTAATGCATGGTGTAACTGAACAAAAATGTCCAAGACAAATAAGCATGTTTTCAGGACATCAGTTTAGGCTTTACCAAGTTTGAGTGTCCTCAACTCTGGCAAATCCCTGGAAGCACAAAGCTGGTAGAAGATGTGGTAGTTTCTCTCTTGAGCTGCCTGTTTGTGTGTTATGAAACAAAATTCGACTCAATAACAGAACTTGGTCACTGAATCATGAGATAATGTGAACACTATATGATCGATCAAGCACCTGAAAAACAACTCTTGATTTCTCCAACAAGTAGGTCCTCATGTTTGCCCCAATTATATCCCCTTTACATCCAAATCCTATCTCGATATACTTCCCAAAACGGCTGCTGTTGTCGTTTCTGGTTGTTTTTGCATTACCAATTGCCTGCAAGGGTTAAAATGACAACATGTTACAAATAGCCTCCTCCTACTTTACCAAAAGGTCAGAAATCAAGTTTCAGTACCTCCATGATGGGATTGGATGCCAGAACTTTCTCCTCCACACTGGTCTGCTGGGCCGCACCACCCACGACAGCGAAGTAACGCATGGTGAACTTAGCAGATACAGTTTTACCTGAGCCTGATTCTCCACTGATTATGATGGATTGGTTTTTTTCCTCTCTGTATATATAATTATGATTAATAAAACCATATGTTTTGGTAAAGGTAATGTAATACAGATTCAGAATGAATTTCCCTACTGTGTACTACACTCTAAAAACCGCTGGGTCAAAACAACCCAATAGCTGGGTTTGTCCCTTTTTAACCCAGCATTTTTTAGAGTGTACCATGGTAAAGTGATGGTATAAGAGGGTAATACAGTGGTACTTTGATATATACCTAATATTTCAATAATACTGCAAGGTAATTCACAGAATACCATGATATTACCATGGTCCATGTCCAAAAACAGTACTTTTTTTGTAAGCAAACTGTTCTTGTTATTTGCTTGCTATTGACCTGATCATAGTTCGGTACGTCTCTTCAGCCACAGAAAAGATGTGTGGCTCCATATCAGCCATGTCTTGGCCGCTGTAAGCGTCGATCACCTCTTCTCCATAGATGGGCAACTGTTCATATGGATTTAATGCCACCAACACAATCCCTATTAAAGTATGAGAAAGTTGTCTAAATGAGATTAATGTGTCTCTGAAATTAAAAGTGAAATTAATCTACTTTAAAAATATACAAGGCCATAATTGTCTATGCATAATTCACATCTCAATAAACCCAGTGCTTGGTTAAAGTTCTTTACAGTAGCCAATATAACAATGGGTAATGTTTTTTGAATCTCTGTGTTTTGAACTTTACACCCAGTAAAATAGAGGTTATTGGGCAATGGCTGTAAAAAAATTCCACTATTTTCTATTGAATTTTGCTCACCGCAGTAGGTGTAAATGCTACTGTAGTCGAGAAAGCGCACTCGCAAGTTGTGAAGTACCGCTGGCTCGTGGAGGAAGGTTAGAGCCGTGAGGTCATTCTCTCCCTCCAAAATATCAGGGTTACCTAGAGGGGGAAGACCTGCCGGAGGCAATACTGGATACTCCATCTCCTTATTTAAAAATAATAAAATAGCATATAAATGGTTTATAACTATATAAAGTATGTAAATATGATACTGCTATATAAATAAAATACTGCTGAAAATTAGGAAAAACGTTGTGTTTAGAAAGTTTTGAACACATTTTGATTAGTGGTTAGTGGAACATGTTCATTCTGAAAGGCTCATGGTTTCATATCAGAATCATATGCGTGTAAGTGTCTTACTCTGCCATCAGTGAGTTGGATTGGTATGTGCTGGTCTCCAGGCCGATAGTTTTGAAGCAGCTGGGCAGACACCCACACAGCTTCTGGGTCTGGCACCCACACACATGCCCCCTGAGAGACAACAGAAAGAGTAACTATTTTCATACTGATCATAATCAACAGTATGTGGCAGTTTGTGGCAAGTCCAAATGATGTTTTTTTTTTGTTTGTTTGTTGCTAATTAATATTACCCAAACCTTCAAATTTCAAGTGTAGGCCTGAAAACTGAAACATACTGGCACATCATTCAGTTGGATTTCAACAACAATTCAGGAATGAATTGGTACTGTGTGCTTCCTGCACCTGAACTAGCTATTCAATAACTTCAGGACTACTAGAAAGTCCATGGCAGGTGTGCTGGAACTAAACCGTGCAGGAAGGCAGCCTTCTATGAGCAAGATTGGACATAACAGTCTACAGGCTTGATTATGATTATGTCTCAAGATATGGATACCAAGGAAATTGATTCAATATTTTGTATGTTACACAACCGGCTCATGTGCCTGAGCAATTGTCTGTCCCAGCCCAATGACACTCTTTCTCCTCCATCAGCATAAATACACTCACTGTACCATTAAATATTAACACCAGCCGGTCTCCTCTGACAGTGAAAATAATACGGATGCAGATGCACACTAAACAAAACCAGACTTCATTTCTATCTATCTATCTATCTATCTATCTATCTGTCTGTCTGTCTGTCTGTCTATCTATCTATCGTTAATGGCATCCAATGAAATTACAAAAAAATATATATTAAAAATTATTAAAGGCACTTACCTTTGTATAGAGCTCTGTGGTTGCCATCTGGCCAGAAAGTAAATTTCTGCTTTGACAACTCAAAGGAAACCTCACTACAACTTCAGCTGTTCTCTTAATTTGTGTCTCAGAGCGAGTGACTGGCCCTGTGCCCTTTGGTCTGTTAGAGATTCAGGCATCATAACCGTAATGGTAAGTTAACAGTTAATCCTCCAGCTGAGAGAGGGACATTTAAAACAGCTCTGGATCTGAACCATAAAATCTCAAAGCAGCTTAAAGTAGTGCAAACAAGTGGATAGCAAATAAATGATAACGCTAATGAAACAAAGAAATACTCTAAGTACAACATCTGTAGGATCATTGAAGATAGAAACAACCTAGATATTCAACACAAGAACATTTTATTTTGAGAAATGCAGAAGTAAACATGAACATCGGTGTGCTGCTGTGGGCTATGAACAAAACTTTTTTTTTTTCGCCCGGCAACATTTAATTAAGTTGCTTATCACAGGATGATGTTTACACATCACTTTATGTGAATCACGTGTCACATTTTATGAATCACCATTCACATTGCAATTTCAGGTTCAGACTGTGGAAATGTTTTTCAGTGTCAAGTATGAATAGCTTATAACGAAAAAATCAGGCAGTTTTAACAAGCACCAGATCAGTTGAAAACAAAACAATTGACATAAAACAAAGCCATACCTGCACACTTTGTAACTGTTAATATGTTTATCAATGCCTTATATCCCCAATAAAACATTGGCATTGGGAATAACACACAAAAAATACTGAATTTAAACAGCATAATACTGATTTGCACCTTAATTTGATTAGAAAAGAGAGTAAAATAGGTGAAAAAATGTTTTTCCCACAAATGTACCTTACTCTTTTTGACAGAGCTTTAAACATTTTTTAGTCACAGAGAATAATCAACTGATCAGTTTAGGTCGGCTGTGACAAAGTTTAGCACCCACTAGAACTAGAGGACTGTATTTTTGACTTGATTGTCATCTCCCTATCAAATCCAAATACCCCCTCTCAAAACAACAAACAAACCTCAAAACATTTAATACAGAAGGCAGTTCAACTGCTAAACTTTTCTAACATTTTGTTCTTTTAGAAAATGTTCGAAATATAAAAAAAAAAAATAATAATAAAACAGAAAAAATGCCTGAAAATCGAGCCAACAGTCTCTGCGAGATCCCAACTGGTGGGTGCACATGGATATTCAGCGAAGCTGGGAGATCATGGTAATGTGGTGTGTTGATCAGCGAGCATCGGGTTGTGTTGGGAAACTCATGTGCAGGTAATTCAGACACATTTGATTGCCCTGTGAAAAAAAGAGACATTTCAGTTTATGTGACTATTTCCTTCAGGAAATAATAGCAGAAATAGTACTTTTTTTTCAACTATTTGCTTACCTTTGCTATACTTCCTGTTTATCATCATTGCAATTCCCCTCCTGTTTGAGTGCGTCGCCCTCACTAGATGTTTCCTCCACATGAGCCAACATGTCGGCCATCAAAGCCTCCTCCAAACGCTTCCGCACGCTGTACACCAGCTCCTCTTGCTTTCTGTGACCATAAAATTCAACTGTATCACTCTCTTACATACATTTCGCACACACATACATACGATACTGAGCATCATTCAAAGGTCTGAAATACCTGATATCCTCGTCTGTGACGATGAAGGCCTTGCAGAGAGGCTGAGCCGTGTTGAGCCACACTCCAGGGTTCTTCTCCACAGCAGCAGACAGCTGGCCCGTGATGGGAGCCGCACTGGTGTGAAGAGCACTGGCAATAGCTGACAACAAGGTCTTATCTGTGCAGCCAGGGCCCACTCCTTTAGTGTCGTGAAATATTATAAAATATTACAATTTTATTAGCATCCTTTAATTTAACCTCTATTTGACTTATTTTAGATATCATATTATGATGCTACAAGAAATGAATAAAAGAAATGAATACTTTTATTCAGCAAGCACACAATAAATTGACAAAAGGTGACAGTAAAAACATTTAGAATTCTACAAAAGATTCCTTTTTCAAATAAATGCAGTTCTAAGTTAGTTGGCACAACTCTGGACAAAAAAATAAAAACACTTTCTATGCATTAAAGAATCCTGAAAAATCAGAAATATTGAGCAGCACAACTGTTTTCAACACTGATAATAATAAAAAAAATAATAAGATGCTTCTTGAGCTGCAATTTAGCATATTAAACTGATTTCTGACGGATCATGTGATGCTGAAGACTGGAGTAATGGCTGCTGAAAATTCAGGTTTGCATCACAGGAATAAATTACATTTTTTAAATATATTCAAAATAGAAAACAGTTATTTTAAATTGTAATCATATTTTACAACATTGCTGTTTTACTGTAATGTTGATCAAATAAAAGCCTTGGTGAGCATAAGAGACTTCTTTCAAAAACATCCAAAAATCTTACCAACCTCAAATTTTTGAAAGGTAGCTTTTTATTTATTTATTTTTTAATAAAAATCTGTAAAAATCTTAATTCTTTTTTTTGCATATTTATATTAATATTATATGTTATAAAAAAAATTTTTTTTAAAAAATACAAATAAATTGTCAAACAAAACAAATTTAATAAACTCTCTGTAAAGTTCTCTGTACCTGTATAGTTTTGTGTGTGTGTGTGCGCTGCGCTTTTATTTTGACATTACCATATTGTCTTTTATTTTGAAATTGTCAACAGTTATTTCTTACCCTGGCCTTGAGTGTGTTCACCTGTTTCATGTTAGTGCCCTCTGTTTGGGCCTTGTCTGCTGTTGTTTATGTACTCTGGCTTACTTTTGATTCGTTTTTGTTTGCTTCTCTCGTTTTCTTCAGATTTCACAAAGTAATTGAATATTGACTTTCGTTTATTCTTGATTAAAATAAACACACTTGGATTAAGTTCTTCATCTTGCACAGATGTACCTTGTAAGCCTTTGGGGAGATCCATTGTTTTCACCAACTCCTCTGCTATGTCAAAGGCATTGAGGCCACTCAACTTCTTCTCCCAAAATAGCTGTAGATGAAAACGTATATTAGCATTGTGCCACTATGACAAACTACTATTATTATTGAATAGATAATAAACCTAGATTAGATGAGTATTACCTGTCTGGGCTGGTCAATGGCCTTCTGTGGGTCTGTTTTAACCTTATTGCTGGGGTGGTTGGTAACTTTTGTGACAGGCTGTTTGAAGATGGAGGCCGTCTGTCGTACTGGGAGGGACGTATTCAGGTCGGGTTTACCCTATTAAAGACGGAACATCCTTTATTACCCTGATGAAAAACAGTTTTTTGATGGGAATTGCTGGTCTTTTACTGGATATTGTTGCAGGCAGACCAGCTTGACCAGCAAAACTAGTTTGAAATAGCCTTAAAGAAATAGTTCACCCAAAAATGAAACTTTACTGGTCATGTACTCACCCTAAGGCTATCCAGGATGTAGATGAGTTACATGCTTAGCATTTAGCATTACATCACTTGCTCACCAGTGGATCCTCTGCAGTGAATGGGTGCCGTCAGAATGAGAGTCCAAACAGCTGATAAAAACATCACAATAATCCACAAGTAATCCAGACGACTCCAGTCCATCATTTAACATCTAGTGAAGTGAAAAGCTGCATGTTTGTGAGAAACAAATCCATCAAGGCATTTTTTTACTTTAAACTGTTGCTTCTGGACAAAATGTAAGTTTGTAATCTATAATAACACTCCTCCTGTGAAAAAGTCCATCCCCTGTTGTCTTCTCACATTAAAATCCACCAATATATTTGTTTAAAACTTTTTTTTTGACTATTTTTACTGCTTGTAAAGTGCATATTTCTCTCTTGATTTAGATGAGATTACTTTTTCACTGAAAAAAGCAATATTATAGATAGAGCATCCGTATTTTAGCTGGAAACAGTGGTTTGATGTTAAAATCGTCTTAAGGTTGAATTTGTTATTACAAACACACTGCTTAACAAGATGTTAACTGATGGACTGGAGTGGTGTGGGTTACTTGTGATGTTTTTATCAGCTGTTTGGACTCTCATTCTGACGGCACCCATTCACTGCAGAGGATCCATTGGTGAGCAAGTGATGCAATGCTACATTTCTCCAAATCTGTTCTGATGAAGAAACAAACTCATCTACATCTTGGATGGCCTGAGAGTGAGTACGTTTTTTGGGTGAACTATTCCTTAAATTGGTTTTAAATGCCATTCAGAGATCATTTCTCTTTACCGAGTTACCGAGTCAAACATATGATGAATACGTTTTTCTGAATATGAAACTGTTTGTTCAAATAACATTTATGAAATGACAATTTATTGCAATCGTCTTACCTTAGTCTGGCTATTGTTGTCATATCGGGGTCTCTGTCTGTTCTTGTTCAGTTTGCTCATGAGCATCTTGCCTGTGCGGAAATCAAAGGAGCTGAGATCCATGGAGTTGCCAAGGTAACGGGCCAATTGAGGCTTGCTCCGGAACTTCTTCCCAGTGGGGCTGGCGAGGGGGAGCAAAATAGGACACATCTCAGAGATCTGATAAATCCGTATGGATGCAAATTTGGAAAGAGAATGGGTTATGGTGACAGCAGTTGCATACGGATATATTAACACACAATATACGCAAACAATGACATGCAATGCCTAACTTGGAACGAATTTTGATAAATCCCAAGCCTGTGATGACAAAATGACAATGTTATTAGACCATGAATACTGTGAGGACTAGAACGCTTTCTGCTTCTTAACACTGACAATTATGACGCCATTAAAATCACATTCAAAATGTAATAATAATTAAATATTGTTTAATTAATATATAGTTAAATCTAAAATAATTAACTGCATTTAAAATAATTAAATCCTAATTTAAAGTAATAATAATAATATAATTTTTTTTAATGCTGCATATTTGCTCTAAGAGCAGTTTGTGTACAGAAAAAAACAACTCGATCTATTCTCACTTTTAAATACAATTAACTTTCTTATAAATGTAGAATGAATACAATCCTGTACTGTGTCTAGGGTTTTCAAA